ACTTTGAGAAATGAAATAGCTGAAGATGTTAACAAATGGAAAAACATACCATGCTCATGACTGGGAAGAATCAACATTGTTAAAATGTCCATACTCCCCAAAGCAACATAGGAATTTAACACAATCCCTATTAAAGCACCACTGTCATGCTGCCAGACACATATACCGAGGCTGGGAGGTTTGAACCTGGCCCAGACCAGCTAAAGAACAATGACAACTGCAACAAAAAATAGTGGGGTGTTGTGGTAGGCACCTATAGTCACAGCTACTTGGGAGGCTGAGGCAAGGGAATTGCTTAAGCCCAAGAGTTTGAAGTTGCAGTGAGCTGTGACCCATAGCACTCTACCCAGGGTGACAAAGTGAAACTCTGGCTCAAAAAAAAAAAAGAAAAAGATTTGGAAAAAATAGTACTTTATTTTATATGGAATCAGAAAAAAACTTTAATAGCCAAGACATTACTTAAAAATGAACCCAGCTACTTCTCATCATTTGATCTTTGATAAGCCTATCAAAAACACTTCACTTTACAATGAAGATATTTGCATTGGAATTGGAAAGATTCCCTGTTTAACAAATGGTGCTGGGCGAATTGGCTGACGACTTGTAGAAGACTGAAACTGGACCCACACCTTTCACCATGAACAAAAATTGATTCTCACTGGATAAAAGATTTAAACTTAAGACATGAAACTATAAAGATACTTAGAGTGCAGGGAAAACACTTGAAGAAATTGGCTTGGGAGAATAATTTATGAGGACGACACCCCAGGCAATTGAAGCAACACCAAAAATGTATTACTGGGATCTGATCTAACTAAAAATCTTCTGCACAGCCAAGAACTCAGTAAGTAAAGCAAGCAGACAGCCCTCAGAATGGGAGAGGATATTTGCAGGGTATGCTTCTGACAAAAGTTTGATAACCAGAATCCACAGAGAACTCAAACTTATTAATAAGAAAAGAACAAGTGATCCCATTTCATTGTGGGCAAGAGACTTGAACAGAAGCAGGCACATGGCCTATAGACAATGAAAAAATGCTCATCATCTTTAATCATCAGAGAAATGCAAATCAAAACCACTTTGAGATATCATCTAACTCTAGTAAGAGTAGCCCACATCATAAAATCCCCAAACTACAGATGTTGATGTAGATGTGGAGAAAAGGGAACACTTTTGCACTGCTGGTGGGAAAGCAAGCTAATGCATTCCTTTTGGAAAGAAGTTTGGAGAACACTTATGGAACTAAAAATAGACCTGCCATTTGATCCTGCAATTCCTCTACTAGGTATATATCCAGATGGCCAAAAATCACTTTACAATGAAGATATTTGCACCAGAATGTTTATTGCAGCCCAATCCATAATTGCCAAGTCATGAAAGCAGCCCAAGTACCCATCGACCCATGAATGGATTAACAAATTGTGATATATGTATACTTGTGTGAGGCCCTCCAAGTTGGCAAGTGAGAGGACTCAGTTTCCAAGGAGCAGCCAGCTCCTCCCTGACCCTTTTCACCTGGATGGATATTTAAATAGTGCAACGTATTCCCCAAACCTTGACAATACAGCCTTGTAGGGGAACATGTTTCTCAGTTTGAGTCTAGAACAGGGGAAAGAATGATAGGAATTTCCCATGGTGGCACATCCCAGAATAGTTCCACCAGGTAAGCACATTCTGTCCTAAGAGAAATCCATTGGAAAAAAATGATCTTTCTGAACAGTGGTCAACTGCTGTTGCTAAAATCGGATCATGATTAGAGACAACTAAGTCCCCTCTAAAAAGTGCCATATCCACGCGACGGATGGTGACACAGGGAAATAGCAAGCGGTGCTGGAGGCATCTGCCCTGGCTGAGCCGGCGGGTGTCAGTCACTGGGCAGTCTGCGCCTCCTGCCCCACAGTCCCACAGTAAGACCAGAACCCCGGCATCCTGTCCCCTCCACGTCCTCCACACTGAGTAGCTATGAAGAGGTATTGTTTTCACAGCTATACAGTTATTTGGCTCCCTTTACCCTGGGTGGACGTGAGCTTTAGAAAACTACCATTTGTTAATGTTTACAATAAAGGGAATGCTGTTACCAAACTCTGCTATTTCAAACCCATTTTCTGTGTCAGAGGTTACCCTCCGGATCTGTTTTCGAAGCATGACATTCCTCCATGATGCATAACACACACTTACCGTGCGGCTCCCAAACATTCTTGACTGTTTTTATAACACAAAACCCAGCAATTACTGGTTGTGATTTTCACGTGGTTGCAGTTGGAGACTTTTCTAAAATTACAATAACATTTCCCTGGGGGTAAATCTGTTTTAAGAACTGGACTGGGGAAAAAATTAAAAAAATAGAAACAACCTAAGTATGTTTATTCTCCAAAATGCATGTCAGTTCATCAAGGCCACTCACTGCTTCTCTGTCAGAGCCGCTTTATAAGGCAGGTAATTTATGGACAGCCATGCCGCTCCTCATGGTGAAGTGTGAGACTCAAATGCTCAGGGACAGGCGTGTGCTATTTTTAAAATGAAATGACCATAACTTCACTTGCTATTTCGAACCTATTGGATTATTTCACTCATAGCCTTTCCTTCCCCCTTCACTGGTAATGTTTGCCGTTATATAAAGAATATTTACGATGGATCTATTAAGTATAGAGTACAAATGTCTTAACACAATAATTACATAAAGGAGATGAGGTATATATTAATCAGTGTGATGTAAGTGTTCCTAATTTTGTATGACATGAGCACATGGTACCCCATAAATGCATTAATGTATACATGATCTATGTGTTTATGATTTAATAAAAAATATTTAAGATGATACATAGGTACATTTTTCCATGTTCTCAATTCTGACAAATCTTAGTTTTATAAACTTCCTTTCTTGGCAGGGGGAGCTCTGGCAGTGCACCTGGCAGGGATGGGATTGGATTGTTACCAACAGGCAGAATCAAAGCAAGAGTTCATCGTAAGATCCTGCCCCACAGACCCTGCCTGGCGGCTTGTACTGTGCTGGGTGGTCTCAGGCCTCATATCCCACATCAAAGCATCAACAGGCCCCAGAAGTCTGGTCCATGAAGGGGCATTATAGCAGCCCTAGGTCATTTCACAGAGGGTTCGGACCTTTGGGCCACTGTGTTGGCAGCTAATTGTGGGACTAGACTGCAATCATCACAATCATCACAATCATCACAGTCATGAGATTGCAGGATTTCACCTTCACCAACTACTTTCTGCATAACACTCTGAAAAGCACACACGTTCCCTGGATTCCCAGGGTTCTCAAAGAAGGTCTAGTTCTCCAGTGAAACCCTCATCTCTCTGGGAATGAACTACCAATGCAGTGTCCCTTGTAACTAAATACGGTGGCCATGTCTCTCATTTGTTTGATCAGCGTCCCTTCACTGGTGGAACTCTTGGGGATGAGAATGTAAAAGCAATGGGCCTCTGACTCTTATTCTGGGATGGAAACAGGAAGAGCAGCCTGTGATAAGCAGCTGAGAGATGACCAATCCAGTTATTATCCACGGTCAGCTGGAATCAACGTGCCCATTGAAGAAAAGTGATGGAACCCGGGAGAAATGGCCATCACCAAGTGGTTTGGACTTAGGGAAGAGCAGCTCCATTCCCCCCTGGTTGCCATAGCTGAATGGGATGTTAGGTCATCTTCAGTTGTGCAGAAATTGTATTTCTGGAAATAAGAAATCATGTGTGCATGGGGTACCCAGGAAAGGGAGGAGGGCCACACCCAACTTTTGCCGTCTAGGGCCCCGCTGTCCCTCTTTGAGCCCCAGCCTGCCTCATCATTCGCCAGATGCTTCTCACACCTCCCAGCCCTGACAACAGGGATAAGCTTGCCACAGAGGTAGACCAGCCAGAATCTTCTTCCTAAGACCCTGGATCTGCATCACAGACACATAGGGGTGATGGTGGCTGGGGCTGAGGCCTCCAATAGCCATGTTCAAAGACACAGTCCATGAACTTGTACCGCTGAGATCTCTGGAACCAGAGCAGCCCCGGGTCCTTCATTTCTCAAGGTCTGGTTCTCAGCTTTTCTGTGTGATTCACTGGGAGATCCAGAATCCTTCTGAAGAACCCTGCTGATTCAGCCCTCCGAGTGACTGGCACGAAATAGAACATGAGAGATTTATTTTCCATGACCTTCTAGGCACCAGGTACTATGCCATATCCTTTCAGATATAGAAAGTTTCACTTACTCTCATCATTCTGTAAAGGAACAACATCATTTTATGGGGCTGTAGCAGATGCAGTCATGGGTCATGGCTGCACTTGAATCTGGCAGATGCATCTGAGTGTCCCAGTTGTTAGTCTCTGCATTTGTGCCTGGGGTCCTGCTATAAAAATACTCCAGAAGCTCTCCATGCCTGGAATGGGATAATTTCAAAGTGTGTGTTTTGCCCCATTTCCCTGAGTCTGCCCTGGGTTTGAGCTGCTGTTACCTCCTGCGGTTGCCACCGGCACACCAGGCCCTTACCTGGCTGTGGCCTTTTCCTGGATTTCGTCCATGCCCCTTGCTGTGTTGCTCATTTTTCCCAAATGAAAAACTTTCACTCAAATTCTTGTCATTGTGTCTGCTTCTTGGAGAAGCCACACTCAGTAAGGCAGAGGGTGCTAGGATGTTTGGAAGGCACAGCTCAGCACTGCCTGGGTGCTAAGCCCCCTGTAAATGTGAATCCACCTCCATTTTATAGAGGAGGAGACTGGGAGACAGAGGAGGCACCCGGCTAGTGCACACTGAGGATGGTACTTAGAATTTATGCTGCATCACAGCTCAGCACTGCCTGGGTGCTAAGCCCCCTGTAAATGTGAATCCACCTCCATTTTATAGAAGAAGAGACTGGGAGGCAGAGGAGGCACCGGCTAGTGCACACTGAGGATGGTACTTAGAATTTATGCTGCATCACAACTCTGACCCATCAGCTTGCCCAGGGTTCAACCTCAGCAGGGTGGGTACTGTGGACACCACTGGCATCGCGGGCAACATGGGTGCCACAGACACCATGGACACTGGGTGGACCGTGGACCCTGTGGGCAGTGTGGCCCCTGCGAGCACTGTGGGCTCTGTGAGCACCATGGACACTGTGGGCAGTGTGGACCCTGTGGGCATCATGGGCACCGTGGACTCTGTGGGCTCTTTGGCACTGTGGGCTGCTGACTCTCGGCTGTGGGAGGCCGTCCTGTGTAGGGCAGGGTGTGGCACTGTGGGCTGGTGAGGGTATGGGAGGCTGTCCTGTGCAGGGCAGGGTGTGGCACTGTGGGCTGGTGACTCGGCTGTGGGAGGCTGTCCTGTGCAGGGCAGGGTGTTTAGAGGCATCTCTGACCTCTGTGCACTGTGTGCAAGCAACACTCTATTGCTCCCCCTAATTGCCAATTGTCCCCTTGGGTGACAGGAGGATTCCCCTATGAGAACCACAGCCAGAGACAGAGCCAGCCTCAGTCAGAAGCAGCTCCATGGCCTGCCCGAGCTGATGGAGAGGGCCAGAGTGACAGCACAGACACAGCCTTTTTATCGACCCATATAAGCCTTTGAGTCAATCTGGTGTCTCCTGACTCCAAACCCAGCCCACTTTCCATTATCTAGGCTTCTGGAGATCAGTTGTTCCATTGCTCTATTTGTTAGAAAGTTCTTTCCTACTGAACCCAAATCTGCTTCCTGGGAACTGACTTCATCGGTGTGCCTTCCAGGGCCATGCAGAGGGCCTAATCCTCCTTCACAGGCTGGCACTTCAACTATTTGAAAACAACTCCTGTGTCCCTGCCTTGTCCCTTCCCTGTTGGGCCCTCTCTGCACCTCTTGGATCTTCCCATGTGGCCGCTCAGGCCCTCAGGGGTTCACACTCAAGGACACATTCAGCAGCTATAACACCTACTATGTGCTATGACATGGCAAGGGACAGGTCCCCTCTTCTAGGTTCCCACTGAATGGTTTGAACTCGAATTTCTAGCAGCCTAGAGTTCATGAATTTTAAAGCTTCCAGAACTTCTGGTCCAGCTCCAGACAATAGAGTTCTCATTTATCTCCTATGGCAGCTACCTAAAAGATGACTTTTGAAGAATGCATTGAAGGAAGCTCTTAAAATAATACAATACTAGGCCAAAGAAGTACATGTTTTCAGTAAAATACTATTTTTAAAGTTTATACAAAAAAAAAAAAGCCTAGAAGTTGATGTCAAAAAAATGTTAACTAGGTTTATTTCTTTAGATAGTGGAGCTAAATAAGATTTAAATTTTTTCCTTTGTCCTATTCTTCATTTTAAAGCTTGTAGGATGAATAGACGTGTATGTGTGTGCGTGTCTATGTGTAAGTATATACATGCAAATACTCATATATGTTGCAATCAGTTTTTAAAAGTTATTAATAGATTTGTAGTAATAACTATCTTTTTACTATAGATTTTGGGACCAGGAGAGCATTAGAATGATAGAGTTGAAAAAACTCCCTTCATATAAGGACGGGGGCGGATTTAATAGTTACGGGACCATAGCACATCCAGATAAAAATCCTAAGTGAAAAGAAACTGATATGGAGAACGAAGAATGGTGACAGCAGAGAAGCAAGTACCAAAGGTGGATTGAAAACATAAAAATAGGCATGTATGTCTCCTGGAGCCAAAACACCATTCCTTCAGCTCACTGGTAAAATAACCATAAATGATTACTTCCCACTTGCCTAAGCCTTTACATTATATCCCTTAGCTTCTATTTGAAGAGTTTCTAAGCTTCATAAATGAGCAAATAATTTTCCTCCATCCCTTTCAACTGTCCCTTATTTCAAGTGAATAAATTACAATGGCTTCCTTTTTTTTGGAAGAGTCTCTCTGATTTCCTGTTCCTGCTCCTTCTCCCAAACACCCTATCTGTCATTTTAAGCCTTTGACTCACATCCCTTCTTATGCATAGACAGTCTCTTCCCCTTTCTTCCTTCCAAAAGTACACCCTCTGGTGTTATTTCTGGCTGCCAGGATCAGCGTCTTAGGCAGAGGCTGGGCACACACATCCTCCCGGTGGCACAGGAGTTTGTGGGTCCGTGCAAAACCCCGACTACCCAACCCCCACTTCTTTTTAGAGTGAAGAGAAGTGTACACATCAGACCATGCCACAGCAACTAGACACCCCGGGGGCCGCCTCTGTACTGCGGGGATGGTATTTCTGGATCTTTTGAGGGCAATTCCATTTCACATTGCCAGGATTGTGTGTGTGTGAGAAAGAGAGAGAGAGAGAATTCTAGCAAACTATGAGTCTGTGAGTACTGGTGCATAATGCTACCCTAAATAACTTGGACTCCCACTGGCTGGCTTTTGTTCCTAAAATGCTAATCCTCCCAGGTGTGGGCCCCTATAAAACACTGGGGAAGAAAGGTGCACAGAAACCTCCACTGTCCTCTGCTGCACAAGGTAAAGACATGTTTACACTAATGGTTTGAAAGTATTTTGAGGCTGCTAACAAGGAGTCATTTAACAGACAGACTTTCTGAAGTCCGTATTAAACACTAACACGGGATGTAGATGGCATGATGGTGTTGAACTAATAACAGGCACTCAGTAGATTGCCTTTCATGCACAGCTGTATTTGGAAAAAATTAATTTCTCCCCAGCTACAAAGATGGGGAGGAAGTCACCTCATTTCATGAGGAAAAGTATCACCTGGTATTTGAACGCAAAATGAAGATGTGCGTTAGATTTAATATGCAGCCTCCCGTGGTGCTGGGTTGGAATTCCACAGTGTCACACTGCGCTTTGCAGCTTTGGGGGTGTGAACCACAGCGGCTGCTGCAGGTGCAGGCTTTGCTCAGGTCACCTCACTTCTCCCCCAACCACCATACAAAGGAGGTGTCACCATTATCTATATTTTCACCATAAAGTGTACAAGGCGGAGCCGAGACGGAAACGCAGGTTCCTCACCACACTGCTGAGGCATCTAACTGAGGACCCCTATGGACTTTTCAAGGACCCCTCTGCTATCTTTTAGGGACAGCAATTAACTTCCTGGTGTTGTGGGAAAGCGGAAGAGAAGGAGCAAGTAAGTATCTGCAGGAGAAAAAAATGTCCTGTGGACACAGGCTGGGCGAGCAGGACTCTGGTTTGGTGAGTTGGAAAATTGGGGTGAATGTGTGATTCTAGAGCCAATGGAAATGCCATATTACACCCACAACAGTCTCATTTCTTTGGAATCTGTTGTGTAGAGATGTGAACAGCAGGCAACCTCCCCAGGTGTGCAGTGGGATTCTAGGCACCCTGGGGTGGCGGCAGGGCTGGTGTCTTTCTGGTGCTTTGTTTGTTCAAGGAGGGCCACCAAGTGGGGGCCTGACTATCTGGTTAGCATTGGACTTCAGTGAGCCAGTTAGCAATGGCACAGCTGGCCTGTCCAGTTGTCACCCTCAGTTGGCTGAAACAATGTGACGGGGGCCACTTTCCAAGGAACATAAGCATTTACATTTTGTAAAAGAAGAAAAAAGACCAGAAAATGTCACTGTGACAGGTTTGACTTCGAGTCCACTAAATACTACAAGTAATTTTAGGGCAAACAAGCCAAGGAAAACCAATGAGGAACCAGGGCCCCAGGCTGCGTCCTGCCCGTGGACGTCCCAGCTTCACTCTTGGCTCTGTCACCTGCCCACTGTGTCTGATCTTGTTTTTCTTTCTTTTTTTTAAAGAGATAATGAAGAAATGTTTTAATGATTAATGTTTAGACATTATTAACAGTGTGGGTCTATCCAGATGAGCTAAGCTGGTTGTTAAATCTCTCTGTGCCCAAGTGTCTGTCTCTCATTTGAGACAAGACGCCTGCTTCCTGGGGTTGTCTGTTGGGAGGGTCCAGTGACGGCTCTTAATGCGCTGAACAGCTCAGCGCCGAGGTGGTGGCAAGTCTTCAGGAGTCAGGCATGATCAGTGATCCCTGTAGCCAGGTCTCCCATTCCAAATCAGGCATCATTTTCCTCCTGCTTTAATAAATAACCACATTTTCGCTCTTTTGAGTCTTACGGGATGAGACAGGCAGTTATTATTATTCCCTTTCTGCTGCTGAGGAAATGGGCGCTGAGGAGATTAAGTGAGTTGTCAGGTGTCAGGGAGGGCGTCAGGTCCACCTCCAGCTGCCCCATGCTCTGTAGTCTCATAGAGCCACAGGTGACAGGAGGGCAGCTCGGGTTTGTTCCAAATCCCGCTCTGCTCATCCACGATGTCACTAACCCCTCCATGCACAAGTACCCCCAGTGGTGTGCAGTCTGGGCAGACATTTGTTGTTGAGGTTCAGTTCCAAAGTAACTAGAAATAAATTTTACGTTCCCAGAACTTAGTGATAGGAGGTGTGGGTGGCAGCGGGATGGCAAAGAATCCATTTGCAAGACTACAAACCCTTGCCTCCTGAGCCTGTGGGGCCCGGTCTGGCCGCCAGTGCCGGTTCTGCATTTCTTCATGCATGTGGGTTTGGAAATGTTTCCAGGTCTCCCTGTACTTTGTTCTGCGAAACCAGGATGGCAGCTCCCGGGGTGGCGGCTTTGCTCACCCAGGAAACTAAGTGAAAAGCAGGTGGCACCCTTTGGAGCCCTCCAGGAATGTCAGACTTGACTTGAGCCCAGTGACTCGTGTCTTGCCCAGTTCTTCCTCCCGCAGGCTCCGGCTATGGATGTGTGTCTGAGCTCCGTGCAGCAGCCCGGGTGCCTGGGGCAGGAGCCCAGCTCGGCAGCTGGTTGGGTGGTGCCCAAGGAGGAGGAGGGACTCCAGAAAGATGGCGTCGGGGGACCCCCAGGAGGTAATCCCTTTCTCATCACCTCAACCATTTTCTTCAGTTGCTTTCCTGGTGATGTTGTTTTCAAGTTAACTTCAGTGACAGGAGTCTCCATTTTCTTTTAACTCTAGATTTTTGCTATAATGAAGCTTAGTAGAAACAGACATTTGCCTGATCCTAAACACAGCATTAAAAGTAATCTCTGTTCTTTCATTATTTACTTACCAGAGACCACAAATTTGTTTGAATTAGTGTGTAAATCTAAAATAGCCATGTTTTTTGTAACAAGAACTTAACAAAAACTAGATTCATTTTTGCTTTTCGCTTAAATGCATTCAGGATAAGCTGCCAGGAATGTTGTGGATCTTTGTAAATCAAAGTGTATCTTCCCATTAGGACAATTTAACGGTTTAGGGTTGCATTTCTGGGCATGGATTCAGTGGTAAATAAATAATAGATATAACAAATGTCATAATGAAAGTCAAGGTACAGCATTTAAAATGCTTACAATCACTTTAAGTGGTAAAAGTATATTAATTCTATTAAATGAGGATGTTATTTTACTGAATTGTTTACATAAAAATGTAACTCTCCTTTATCTCTAAAATCTGATCTCTTTAAAACATGTTCTCTCTGAAACTGTTAGGCCAACACAGCCAGAATGAAGGCAGACACAGTTCAGTACACACAAATTTCTCTGTCTTTGTGGAACTTTGAAGAGTCTGTGAGAGAACATTCACGTGTCCAGGGTTCTTTGCATATGTCATCAGGGAAGTTTAACTGTCTCACTTTATATTTGTCAGTTTATCCACCTGGCAAATGATGAGCCACTGAAATCAGTCGGCCAACTTTTCCTTCAGATAAGTCCGTCAACTTTTCCTTGAGATAAAAATAAGTCCCCAAAGGATGATACCTGAGAGGATGGCAGAAGGCATGGCCCAGGCGCCGGCAGGCGGGAAGGGGTGCGGCCGGCTGGTGTGTCCCTGCCACTCTGAGTCACCCACCCCGGGGTATGCTGGAGGTGGCGTGCACTGGTGCCTGAATTTCAAATGTTAAACATAGCTATTATTAAAGTTTGAGTTATATAACCTTATCATTAAATAGCTTATATTAAAGACCAAGGTATGGTAAAAACCTAAGGTTGTAAGTAATCAAAAGCGATCACTTAGGATTCTATGCCCTTGAGATGACTTAACGTCTGCTGTGTCCACGTGCTATTGTACATCTGTGGCCAGCAATGTCGTGCTGGTGGTGGTATTTGCACCAGGGCACCTGTCAAATCCTATAAAACCAGTGCTCTTCCCTGACACCCCCACCTCCCAATTGGTTGTGAAACTTTCATCAGCACCCCGCTTCTACGCCCTTGCCTTCTTATGCCTCCCAACCAGAATTCAGAGTCAGCCTCTCAGCTCCGAGGTAGAAGCGAGGGCCTTTTTACTGGGGTGTAAATACTGGGTTCCCTGTGCTAAACGCCAGTGGCGTCCCGTTGTGGGAGGCAGGTGAAGTTTATAGGTCTCCCTCCCTTCCCTGCAGCCTCCCTACAAATTCCCACCAGAGGATGGGACAGTCGGGGACAGTCTCAGGACTGAAAAGGCTGCGAATTATTGGCAGATTCTTGAAAGTTTGGTGAAGTCTCAGATATTGGGAAGATCACCATTTTGGTCAGGGCAGAGAATTCTGCTTTAAGTGGTGAACATACTAAATCAGAACCTGTGGCCAAAAATAATACCAGAAGAGCCAAGTGTGTCCCTTACGCTACTTTACACAAGCGTCACTTCACTCACACTGTGGTCAAGGGTCATTTCCTAGTGTGCGGCATGCTGATACGTTTGTCATATACAACAAAAAATGAATTTCAAGAAAAACAAAAGGAAAATACATACATATAATACAAGCCCCATGCTTTCAGTAATTAGATTCAACAGACAGAGTCCAATTACTGTGAACATTCCTAAATACTTCCCATTTCTGTACTTACTGTGAGCCTGTCCCGAGTGGTCTTCAGACCAGCAGCACAGACCTGCTCTGGGGCACAATGGGCTGAGTGACCCCAGGAAGCAGCTTGGAGGGGCTGCCCCTGCCCCCGAGGGACACACTGCTCAGTAGATTTCTTCCCAGGCCCACTCCCTTTGCTGTACTGGTCGCCCCTGCCCCAGGCCCACCTCTCCAGAGAGCACAGTTCTGATTCGAGCACGGGAACGTTGGCATGCTCCTTGCAGCTTTTCCTCAAAGCCCATGTTCCAGCCCCAGTTAGTCATTTTCCAGTTATAGCCCAGGCAACAAAAGTAGGTTTCATGCAGAGAAAACCTACTTTCCCAAACTGCACTGTTCCTTCTTTCCCACTGCCGGTACCCACGCCTCTTCCTCTGCTCCTCATGGCTACTAACTGTGCACCCAGCATCCCCCTCCCGACAGCCCCCCACCACTCTATCCTTAAACACTCTGGAAAGCCTACGGCGATTTTGAACATCTGCCCTGATCAGGTGCTCTTTACCTCTCGTTTGATATGACATTTTAGAGCTGCTAGAGCGGGCCCTGGGTTTAGAGGAGTATTTAAAGCATTAGTAACTTAATAGCCGGAGCTCCTCTGACAGCCCCCACTCCCCCGCCAGCCTGTCTCTAGAGCTGGCTGGGCTCTGGGTGGCCTGTTCCTTTTGAGGAGCAATTGTGGGAAGGATTTAAGGAACATGCTTCAGCCAACAAAAGGGAATGTTACATCACTTCAGGACCTAAAAAATAGCCAGGTCCCTGTTCACCTAGTTCCTTCCTTCCCGGAGAGCTCCTTTGTGCTAGTTTGCTGGGAAGCCAGTTTCTTCCCGCAGGCAAAGCAGAGTGGGGAGGGAGCCACTCTTCTGTCCTCTCCTAAACTACGGACGGGCCCAGGGCTTGTGTGGGCACTTTGTTGTGTTATTAAAATGCCCCCGTGAATCTCCTGTCACCAACGTCCTACATAATTCTTTTTCCTGCCCATTTGCAGCCATTACCATTGACAGCATCACACCCCTGTGTACGGAACAACCAACCCCCATCAACTGTGCCAAGTGTCTATTTGCCCTGAATCAACAAGTTGTGAAACCCATTTTATTTTTCTGTTTCACAGGTTCTAACAGAATAGAATCAACTCTTCATAGCCTCCAGAAATTTGTTCCTACAGATTATGCCAGCTACACTCAGGAGTGTTACCGGTTTGCAGGCAAGAAGATCGTCATTCAAGAATCCATAGAGAGCTACGGAGCAGTGGTGTGGCCGGGGGTGAGAGAATCATTAACATTTGTGATGTCAGGATTTTGGGAAGCATCAGTTTTGTTATGTGTTGCCTGAACAATCTATTAAGTGCTGGAACATTCTGTGTCTCAAACTGAAGTTCAGTTGCCCTGCAGGTGGGTGGGGGAGGTGTGCTTGGAACCAGCAAACGGTATTTTTTCGAGAAGCACTGTTTTGGCTTTAAGCTGTTTCTTGAAAAAATTACTTTTATGTTAAACAAACTTGACTATATCAGGAATTAGCATGCCAAATCCATCTGAAGGGTTGAGCAAAACCGTCAGGAATTTAGCGATTGGGCCTCTTCGGGCCGTACCCACTGACCTCTGGACCTTCATTTTTTCAGAGGGTGGATATTTTAAAAGAAACTTTTAGGAAGCATTACTTCATCTCATATTACCTCTGCAATTCCTCTGAAAGAATGGCACTGGCATAGGGGAAATCGTCTGGATTTAAGAGTTAGAAATCCCGCTATGTCCACGCCGTATGGTCAGCAATACTCACTTCCCTCCATCTGCCTGCGTTTCTGTATTTAAAACGTGGAGCAGTGGTGATGTCTAGTTCCTCACATGGTTGTCAGAGCTGTGGGGATGAAATCAGGTCGTGAGAATGAAATGAAGAGCTGCTTAGGAGGTCTGGGGATGGGGGGGAGGAGCCGGAGGGCTGGAGGCTCTGAAGGCTCCCCGCTTCCAAATGAGAAGGCTGGATTTTCACACCTTATGCATACAAGTCTCAGTTCCTTCAAACAAAAGCTTTTCTCTGCCTTAATACCAAATCTGAAAACCACCAAGTGACTCCACAGCTTCCCATGGCAGCTGTCGAGCTGTGTGTGTCGCAGCAGAGCAGGTCAGCCCAAGTGGGGAGAAGGTATTTGTCCACTCGACAGTTTTCTTCTCACCGAGGAGGCAGCCTTTCACGCACCCAACGCTGGCTGCCCTTGGAACCTGTTTCCTGGAAGTGCACGAGGGTACACATGGGAAAACACCCTCTTCCCATGGGACTTCAAGTGCAGTTCTGTGAAAAGATCACCTGGGCTTTGCTGATAGGACTACGGGGTTTATTCCCAATGTCAAAAGATGTGGCTGCTCCTGGGAAAGGCTTAGAAGACACGGCACCAAGGCTGGGAAGGAGGGATGCCTGCAACCATCCCCAGGAAGTCACTTGTCCTCTGGACTGCTCTAGGTGGCCCTCTCTCCCTAATATGGAGCACCCCCACAGTGAGTACTTATCCGCTCTCCTCAAGAACCAAAGAACTTCTTCAAACTCCCTCTGGTCCTGGAGCTCCTTGCCACATTGTTCTGCAGATGGCGCGACGTCACACCTGCTGCCTGGCCTGGGATGCCTCCCTTGTCATCAGCTCCTCTCCTGCTAGGACGCCAGGCTCACTTCTCCCAGGCCCCAGGAAGTTGGCCTGACTCCCCACTGGCTCCCTTGCCCCGCCCCCACCCCCGTAACTGGTACCCGTAGTACCCACCTTTACACCACTAACCTCCCAGGAATGCAGCTTCTCACTGATTTATGTGCCTCCCCAGCCCTGCCACTGAGTTCCGGGACAGTAAGGTGACCGTCACGCTCACCTTTGCACACCCCTGTTCAATGTGAACAGATGAGGATGGGATGAAGTGACTTACGGGTCAGGCCCTGGCTGCCCCGCACGCCAATCTGGCTCCAAAATAGAAAGAGGAGCCCAGAGAAAAATGTGGGCGGATCTCTAGTCGGGGCCTCAGTGTATAAGCAAATTGTTCAACTCATTAAAAAATAATTCTATGTCCACAGTCCCAACTCTAGGGTATTTACACTCAAATTTAGGTCGCTTCCTCATGTGGAACTCTTCACAACTGGTCTACTCCGGGCCATGGCTGGCTGGGCCTCGCTGGCATAAATGTTAAACCTCATGAATCTGTGCAGACCGAATACCCTTTTGGAGGCAGGAGAGAGTGAATAAAGAGAGAAAGGGACATTCAGTTTCCTGTACAGAAGTCCACCTGCATTGATTCATAGATAAGACTTTACAGAGAATTTCCTTGCTATTTCTCAAAGTGTGGACCATGGGCCAGCAGACAGCACCACGGGGGCTTGGTGAGAAAGACACTGCGGGTCTTAAGTCTCACCCCACACCTGCTGAATGAAGACAGGCAAAAGAAAATAACTGCCTAGTTGTCCCTTACAGGAGACAAACTTGTAACCAATCTAAATTTTGATAAAGGAGTTGGCAGAGAGGTGTTTAAGTTTTTCCAACATTCTTAAAGCAGCTGGAGACCCAATATGATGAAACTAGGGGAAGAAGTGGTTGTTTTTTAGTCCAACACTTCAAAAGCTGAGCTGATCTGCTGACCTTCATACTTGGAGATCTGTCAGATCTGTCGTAGGCAATCTAATGAGTCTTTCTCTACTTCCTCAGATGCAGTTTATTATAACTTTTGTTGTTGTTGTTTTTGAGACAGAGTCCCACCCTGTGCCCCTGAGCAGAGTGCAGTGGCTTGGTAGCTCACTGCAATCTCAGACTCTGGCTTGTGGGCATCCCACTGCCTCAGCCTCCAGACGCTGCTTGGACTACAGGTGCTTATTGTGGTGCCCAGCTGGGTTTTTCCATTTTTTTCATGAGTCGGGGGTCTCACTTTCACTTAGGGGAGTCTCGAACTCCTGAGCTCCAGTGATTCTCCCTCCTCAGCCTCCCACAGTGCTGGGATTACAGGTGTGAACCACCACACCTAGCTAGTTTATTATAACTTTTATCTTCTGGGCTTGGCACCTGTGGCTCAAGTGGCTAAGGCACCAGCCACATACACCTAAGGTGGCGGATTTGAATCCAGCCCAGCCCGCCAAACAACAATGATGGCTGCAACCAAAAAACAACTGGCGTTGTGGTGGGCGCCTGTGGTCCCAGCTACTTGGGAGGCTGAAGCAGGAGACTCGATTGAGCCCAGCAGTTGGGGGTTGCTGTGAGCTTTGATGCCACCGCACTCTACCCAGGGGGACAGCTTGAGGCTCTGTCTCAAAAAAAAATAATAACTTTTATATTCTGGATGTCTAAATATGGCATTGAATGTATACAAATACATTTGATAAAAATAAACAAATAAATACAATGAAAGTGTTAAGTAACATGTATTTTAGTATTTCACTTGAGGTGGTGGAGGGCTCATGGCTGGTCTCCAGTGTTCCAATGCCCAGGTGAATGAAGACTGTTGTAAATGTTTTCTAGGCTATGGCTTTGTGTCAGTATTTGGAAGAACATACAGATGAACTGAATTTTCAAGATGCTAAAATACTTGAAATTGGTGCCGGACCAGGTCTCGTTTCCATCGCGGCCAGCATTTTAGGTTTGTTTATTCTTGACCTTGTTTCAAAAGATCCTTCCTGTGACAGCATGACAGCACGTGCTTCCTATATGACAGGCCATGGTGAAGACACTCAGCCACGACTTCACCCAGTGACCCTCCCCCAAATCATGCAGCAGGATTACTACTGTAATCCAGAGAGACAGAATAACTGAGTCTGCCTGGAGCAGTGGCTTGTGCCTGCAATCCTAGCACTCTGGGAAGCTGAGGCAGGAAGATTGCTTGAACTCAGGAGGTTGAGATTTGCTTGACCAACAGTTAAGACTCCTATCTCCACAAAAAATTAAAAGAAAAACCTAGCTGGGCATGGTGGTGGGCGGCTGTAGTTCTAGGTACTTGGGTGGCTGAGGCAGGAGGATCACTGGAGCCCAAGAGTCTGAAGCTGTTGTGAGCTATGATGCCACAGCACACTGGTCGATGGAGTGAGACTTTGTCCCAACAATAGCAAAAAAGATAACTGAGCCATAGAGTAAGTTCATAGTTCATGGACGTCCCCAGGCCCCCCAGCTTCCACGTGTTGGGGGTGAGCATCCAGAGGCCCAACTCTGATCTCTGCCCATGGCCGTGACCAGGGTGGGGTGAGCAGAGACGCTCCCCATCTCCAGCGGGTGAATAGCAAGGGGGTCTGTTAATCCCCTCACAGTGCACAGGACTGAACCACCCCCAAGGAAGAACTATCCAGCCCAAATTATGCCAAACATGTTTAGCCTACCTGCCAAGGCGGCCAGGGCTGAGAAATCTAGTACTATTCTCATGTTTCGGAGTATGTGAGGGCTGTCTGGAAAGTATCCAGCCAAGTAACATGAAGCACAAACTACCTGTGACTGGACACTTTGCAGATGGCCCTGTGGTTGCCCGAATGTTTCTAGGAAATTATTACAATTTTTCTTTTTCTCTTAGGAGCTCAAGTCACAGCAACAGATCTGCCTGATGTCTTGGGAAACCTTGAATACAATCTTTTAAAAAATACACTAAAATGCACAGCACATCTGCCTGAAGTGAAGGAGCTGGTGTGGGGGGAAGATCTGGAGCAGAACTTCCCCAAGTCAGCCTTTTACTACGACTACGTCCTGGCCTCGGACGTGGTCTACCACCACTACTTCCTGGACAAGCTGCTTGCCACCATGGTGTACTTTTCCCAGCCTGGGACAGTGCTGCTTTGGGCAAACAAGTTCCGGTTCAGCACAGATTATGAATTTTTAGATAAATTCAAGCAAGTTTTTGATACAACACTCCTGGCTGAATATCCAGAGTCATCTGTCAAACTTTATAAGGGGATTCTAAAATGGGACTAAGTCACACAAAAGGGCTTTTAAAATACTAGTGTCTTAAAAAAAAAAAAAAAAAAACGAGTGAGCCACGCTGGCAACAGATGAATTCTTTTACAAGAGTGAGACCATGCTGGGTAGGAAACGCCTTGTATGCCCAGAGCAAATGCAGCTTAACAATGCAGATACTTCCTAAAGTAAGGCTGTCTGTTACCCTCAGTATCTATAGGAGTAACAGAAAAACGCGAAAGTACTGTTGTGGGTTTCCAAGAGTCGCCATTACATGTTTAATAAATTTTACCTAACAAATACATGCATTTCCTCCTTGTTATTTCTGCCTGCAGGGCACAGTTTTAAGCTTGTTGATACAGTTTTGTCACATAATTTTTGAAACTGGGCTCGACAGGGTAGCTGAATGTTAGTTTGAAGAAAATCTATACATAGATTTTTAACTGGAGCAAAAGGAGAGGATACTGAGTGATAGAAAATCGTTAATAGTATAGAACTGATTAAAAATGAAAAAACTGGGCGGTGCCTGTGGCTCAGAGGGGTAGGGCGCTGGCCCCATATGCCAGAGGTGGCAGGTTCAAACCCAGCCCTGGTCAAAAACTGCAAAAAAAAAAAAAAAGTGAAAAAACTGCTGAAATGAGAAAATGCATGTTATCTTAGGAACTTTTTTAAAAAATTAAATCAGAGAGATGCAAATCTTAGGAGCTTCTTAAGAGAATTTACAAATACCCTCCCTGTGTGCCAATCACCTGTGATAATTTAAAGATAAATTGCTGCATTGTTTGCTTTTTTCACGTAACTCTTTTAAGCCTTGCAGGCCACACACTGTTTTACAAATACTCTTTGGTTTTGTTGGTTTTTTTTTTTTTTGGTTTGTTTTTACTTTTATAGCCATAAAAAAATAAGAACCATTCATAACTCACAAATACAGGCCTTGGGTTCGGTTTAGCCTGCAGGTCCCAGATTGCTAAGCCTTGTACAACTATTGGAATTCCTAAGAGTTTAGCAAGGTTGCCAAATGTCGACCAAATGACAATGAATGTCACCAAATGTGCAAAGCTCAATTTTATTTATAAATTCTAATTACAAATAGGTAGAATATAAAATTTAAGAAAGATACACTTACATATAGTGATATCAAATCTTAGGAATCAATCTAACAAAAAACATGTAAAACTTGTGCACAAATTTATGGCATTATTGAGACAAACTAAGGAGAACCTAAGTAAATAACCTAAGAGACACCCCAAGTTTGAGAAATGGAAGACACTGTAAAGATATCAGTTTTCTCCAAATTGATCAATAGCTTATGGGAAGTCATGGTCAAAAATCCCAACATGCTTCCTTGTGGAATTCCTTGTGGAATTTGTCAGGCTGATGCTGAGACCATATGACAATGAAAAGGCTAACAGGAGTTAACACTCTCCTGAGGGGAAATGTGCTTCAGGAGAAGTAAAAAAATACTTCAAAATAACTCAGAAAGGAACTAGTATTAGGTGCTGATACTACTATAGCTTGGTATTTCTTAATACATGCACATACATATGGGTGTTTTTAGAAGTGAACTTTAAAGCTACCTGCAAAGAATTAATAATAAGTACTATAAGTTTCAGACCCACATGAGCATTCCAGACATAACTGCATAGATTTAACTGCCTCTGTTTCCTCCTGAATTGATATTGCCTATTAAGAATATGAGTCTTTAAGATACTTGGTGATGAATGTTTTTAAATACTCTTCAATTCCTCTAGGTTGTGATTAAAATTTCTTTTAAAATAAATAACAGTATATTGATCAACAAACAGCAAGACCTATGTGACAAAAACCTATTTCCACAATTTAAAGGCTAGTATTTAAACCAAATTAACAGAGGGAAGAAAATGCTGGCCAAGGCAGCAGTCTTAACTTCCTTCTCTGAAGCTGAGAGAAGGAAACACACATGCCTTCGGCTACGCTCTCCCTCAGAGTGTAAAACTTACAAGACCAGGCTCCCAAAGGCAGAAGTTGTAGGAAATGATAGGATGGATGTTTAATGTCCAGACAACATGTGGCAAGCACAGGATGTTCACCTGCTGACTCCTGCTCATCAGGCCCAGTTTTACTTCTCTCTCATGTGGGCCAGGGTGGGAAAGATAAGTCAATCTGGAAATTATTTGTCAGTACCAAGCACGGTCAACAAGCCAGTCAATTATGGCATAAAAATAGACATATATAGCAATGGAAAAGAACAGCACAGACATGGACCCACAGTATGTGGTCAATTGATTTTTAGGGAAAGTACCAAGGTATTTCAGTGGTGCTGGAAAGATTATCCATACATACACAGAACCCTGAAACTTATCGCACACTGTACCCCCAAATTAAATTGAAGTGGATCATGGACCTAAATGTAAGAGTTAAAGTTATAAAACAACTATGTATAAAACTACTAGAAAAAAACACAGGCTAAAATATTTGTTACCTTGGTTTAGACAAAGATATCTTAGATATGAACCAAAAGCATTATTCATAAATGGAAAAAGCATTGAACTGGATCTTACCAAATTAGAAACTTTTATCAAAAGACTCCATTAAGAAACAGACTGGTGCCTCAGACTTCTACACGGGTTAAGGGAGGAAAGAAGAAACACTGGGAGAAAAATATTTGCAAAATTTATATATGAAAAAGGTTTTGAATCCAAAACATATAAAAAACTCTCATAACTCAGTAATAAGAAAATCCAACTGAAAAATGGGCAAAAAATGCAAAAGAAACTTTTTCAAGGAAGTTATACAAATGCCTAATTAGCTCGTCATTTATTAGGGAAATGCAAATAAAAACCATCACATACACAAGCAGTAAAACGGCCAAAGCTAAAAAGGTGACAGTATCAAGTGTTGATGAGGACAGGCGAAACCTGCCACTCGCTAGTGGGGATGTAGAACGTACAGTCTTGAAAAGTAGTGTGCTAGTTTCTTACAATGCTAAAAAGAAACATGTCATATGACTCTGCAATTTCAGTTCTGGGTATCTACCCAAGAATAATTTAAAATACACGTCCCCTTAAAAGATGGATAAACAAGTGTTCACAGCAGAATTATTAATAACAGCCTCAAATATAAGCAATCCAAATATTCCATCAACTGGTAAATGGATAAAATGTGGTACATCACACAAGGGATATTACTCTGCAGTGAACAGGAATGAATGGATACACTCAACTACATACGTGAGTGAAACTCAAGAATTAAACTTAGTAAAAGACATAAAAGATCATGTATTAGACGATTCCATTTACACGAAATTTCTAGAAAGGCCAAAACTTTGGAGTTGGAAAGCAGAGAGATCACTGGTTGTGTGGGACTAGGGGTGGGGATGGAGATTGCACACGGGCAGGAGGGAGCTCTTCCGGAGGACGGGAAACGTTCTACAACTGGACTGAGTTGATAGCCACACTGCAGTCACTAGACTGCACATGTGGAAAGCTTCAATTTTATGGTATGTAAATTATATCTCAACGTTTAAAAATCTCCATCATTTGTTCCAAATGTTAAGCCAATTCTCTTGCAAACCCTCTACCTTTAAAGTACACAGTCTACAGAAATTTTCTAAGAAAATTATAGCAATGGGACATTACCTCCTATTCTCAGACTTACAAATGCATTTTTTCACAGTCCCAGGGCAAAGGAATATGATCATACACTTATTTTGTAAATGCACAGAATTGTCCTTTTTTAGAAAAGCGGTACTGATTACAGTCATGCAAATCTTTCTCTTCAAATGTTTCATTACTGAAAAATTTAAGTATCTGAGTAGATAAATTGTACAGTTCCCACATATGCAGTTTTTTGCATGGCAACTACACTCAATAATCTGCTAAATCAGCAGATGAGGACGGTGAACCCACACCCTCTCATGACTCTTCAACTCATGGAAAATTTTGTTTCATCTAAACCTGTGTTAATTTGAAGCAAACCAGACAAGTCCTTTCTTACATAAATTCAGCTTATATATATTTAACCATAATATTATCACACCCAAAGTATAATTCTATATTAACTTTTAGTAACTTAATAGATTAACATAGCCAGTGTTTGAATTTCCAATCATCTCACAAATGTGATGACATTTATTTTTTGAGTTTCAATTAACACCCATATAAGGTCCACAGAGTTGATTACTATGCCTCTGAAGTCTCCTAATCTGATTCTTCTTCTGCCTTGCTTTTTGTAGCACCTCAACCTACTGCCCTGTGTAGACTGCATCACCAGTGTCCTTTACGTTCTTATTTGACCCTCTGTTCTTCCCCCAAATTGTATGTTTTAATGACACAGACTTGGAACCTCCTAGGTCAAGCCTAGGGTTGGATCTGCCAAATTCCAACCAAGTTCTACTCCTGAGTGAAAAGAAATTCTTGTTAGAAGCTGAGTTTTAAGGTGGTTTTTTCACAGAATTATCCAGGGTTCTGTCAATACTTTAAACATCACACATAAAATGAAAAGGAATTTTAGAAGGTATTCAGTTGCTTTGTCTTCTCTTTGCATTTTGGGTAAGATCTGGAATCGTCAGATCCTAGAGTGAATTTGGCTCATGTGGCTGGGGATGCAGGCAGTCCTAGGTGAATAGTAAAAACCATGACACATGTAGCTACACAGACTTGACCCTCAAGGGGACATGGCTGAAATAAACTATACCCTTGCTTGTTTGAAATTCCCTCACAAACGCATGGTTTTAAATGAAACTATACAGTACCTTCTGCTGCTTTACAAGCACCCTAAGAAAACACACAAGAGAAACTGAACAGTACCTTGGCAGAGCCAAGTGCAGTGAGGGGCTGGTGGACACTGCTCCCAGTCCCGTCCTGCCCCTGTGCTTCCAGGGAGGAAAGAATTCTGCTGGCGAGAGGCCTACGAGGCCACGTCAGAGCAGCAATGACGGCTTCCTTTTCTACATCGTCTAGTGTCTACCAATGTGCTATTTCCTTTTTTCAATTTATTACTCGTTACTACTGATCAGTTTCCTTAGTTTACTGTGTTCGGACTCAAAAGTTCAGTCTCTTTCACATTCTTGAAAAAAAAAATTCCTTCCATTCAAGAGCCTCTCTACCCTGTTTTGGTAGGAGGATAAAAGGATCCCTTATCCATCTCCCTATCAGGCTTTCCTTAGATCCTTCAGGGAAACACACAGACACGTTTTCCTTGGGGGTTGGGAAACACTGCAAAGGAAAAGCCTGTAACAGTTGTACAACACTGTAATTTTCTAGGGGGCTCCATGAGGGTCAAGTGATTCAGTGCCTGACCCAGATT